ACAACTGTGTAATTACTAGGTTGTATAATTACTACCCTAGTAATTACATTAATTCCAATTACAGGGTGGCTTTCCAAACAGACTCTAACAGTAAAAATTTGGGCATCCACTCTAATGCAGTAAATTCATTCTACATATCACCAATGCAATAAAATCTGGCAAGTAACAGGCAATGCAGTAATTACATATCATAAGTATTGTCAATGCAGTAATTACATATCACCAAAAATAATAAAGTTTGTAGGTCAAACTGATAATTGGATGTCATACTATACTCCCAAAAACTAACAAAACCTAAATCATACTATGACATCCAATTCATTACCAGTACCAATACTAACAGAACATTAAATATGAGACTGTTATTAAGTTTGCAGTAATTACATCCCAAGATAAATACAAAACTACATAGAACAACTTGATCATTTTCCTTTTCTTATCTTCAGCTTTCCAATCTTCTGCTGCCTTTGTTTTTCTAACTGATTTGAAGTTGTAGCTGCTTTACCCTTCCACATTAGGCCTGCTGGTGAATATGGAAGATCTGTAGGCTCACTAACACTAGTGTGATCACCAGTAAAGTTACTTGATCTTGTCCCAGCTGGTAAGTTTAACTGCGGACCCAGTTAAAGTCTTGTCTTGACTTCTAATATCATTATTGGCCTTACCACAACATCTTCATCATGTTCCATCTCTGGGAAATTTGGAACCATACTTGATTGATCAACTCTAGGTGTAGGCATGAAGCTATATCCACTTTCCTGAGTTGATTGAGTCATTTGTGGTGCTGAACAGTATATTTTCATCTTCTGTTTCAGAATCTAACAAAGTTCTTATCCTTTTCAAAGGTTGTTTTCCCTTGTTTAGCTGCTTTCCCTTTGGTTGCTATTAAAAAACAAAGTTAGAAAAAATAAATAGGTACAAGTTCAGCATATGTGCAAATTGTAGGTTACCTGAGCACAAGTTCTTGCATTATGGTTTGGTTGTCCATATTTGCCACAAGTCATGACTCTACCTTTTCTGGACTGTGACCACACTCCTTGCCTTTTAATTGCCTCATCCTTCTGCCTATCCCTCTTAACTTTTGGCCTGCCAACCAACTTCACCAATTCTGGGGGTTCCATTGCTTGTGATGGGTCAATTTTCCAAAAAGTTTCTTCTCTAACAGGTTGGAGCTTGTGTCTATAAGTAAGTAGAAATGCCTCCTTACTGTACCACCAGTGCATCTCTGTCAAAGAGTCCCCCCTGTTGTGAAGTATAGCTCTAATAGCATGAGGACATGGGATTCCTGTAAGGTCCCATGCCCTGCAGGAGCACTTCTTCATGCTTAAGTTGACACAATGCTTGTCAGACCATTCACTAACTTCATATCCTCCTTCTCCGTTGGAATTAACTTTACACACTTGAGCAATCTCCATGAATTCATTGTATAGTTTTAGGCTTTTTGGACTGCACTCATTGCTCTATGTACTAGCTTCAGCTTCTTGTTTTGTCATCATGTTCATAACTTTGAGTCTAATGTCTTCCAACATCTTAATGATTGGCTTTTGCCTTGCTTCCAAAATCCATGAATTGAAGGATTCAGTCAAATTGTTATCAACTGACTGATTCTTGCAAACTGTATCTAGATAAGCTCTGCAGCAAGACTATGGTGGGTACTTCAATAAACTCTTTGCTGCATCCTTTTTTAACTCTCTTAGCTTGCTTAGTTGGTCTTTGAAGTCTTCTTCATAAGTGCAACATGAACACCACCAAAGCAGTTTTTTCCTTTCCCACTACTACAAAACAAGAAGTCTTCTTCATGTGTGAGGCATCGTTTGCTTGGCCCTATTGTTTCTATTTGCTAGGGTACGTCTCTGTCATTGAAATATTAAAATGATATCTTATAAACTTTAAACAGAAATTGAGCATACCTAAAATCAAAACGCTATGAAAATGAGCAGACTAGGAGAATTTTCAAGGTTGATACCTTAGCTTTATCGGAAAGCCAATACGAGACAAGACCACTCCATTGATCCCTCGGTATACGACTTGGCCTATTTTTTAGTAAAGCGTATTTAGTCTTATATTTTTGCGCATACTCACCCTTCAAACTGCACTTGTAATCTTTTTATTTTTTTCCTAGTGACTTTAAGACCCACGCCTCTCCACGTTTTGGGATAGAGAACTTCTTCTGAAAAAATAAAAGCCAATATTTATAAGATAACATCATGCATAAAAGATAGAGCATGTTCACAACAAAATAAAAATAAATAATAATAATAATAACAACAACAACTATTCCATACCCTCGCAAAATCCACTAATTTCTTCTTTTCTTCGTTGTCAAAATTTCTCCAATCATCTACATGTAGAGGTGTTAGTTCTGGAGTTCTGGCAATAATTCCTAGAAAGCTAGCAACCTTTCGACCCTCTTTCCCAATAGCTTGGTTGCGATTATTAAAGGGCACATCAATTGTGTTTCCCGGCGGAAGTTTCCAAATCTCTTTTAGTAAAGTAGGCCCACGAACCTTTTTTGATTTTGAATTACCTAGAATGAAAAAGAGAACAGAACGTTAGGTAGTACAATAGCTATTTAGTGAGTTCTGAATAGCATATCTCCAGCTGATGCAATACATAGTGAAGCTGCTGCAGATGGTCAAGGAGCTGGTCAAAATATTAAAGTTTTCCCTAAGGCTATCACTGATCGAGTGGAGAATAAAGCTGCTATTGTGCAGGTTTGTAGGCAGTAGCAGACTTTGAATTTGCAACCTGGGAATCATAAAACTGTTGCTATAGTGAATCTGATGACTGTCGCTAATGCTTCTGTGGATCGTGCTATTGGAAAAGGCTTGGAATTAACAGAAGACAAAGGTGTAAAATCTCATGTTGTTGTCAAGGATCAAATGTCATTAAGCAGATTGCAGATGGAAAGGGTTTGATCAAGGATCAGATGTCATTAAGCAGATGTTGTTGGTCAAGGATTAGGTGTCATTAAGCAGATTTCACCTGCTCCTAATGGAAGTGATTGTGTGATTGCAAGCAGATTGCAGACGGAAAGGGTTTGGAATCAACAAAATTTAATGGTGATAACTCACAGATTGTTGTTCAAGGATCAGATCTAAATAAGATGCTGGTTACATCAGGAACTGATGGAGGAGCTGCTGTAGCCTCAAAGTTATAGGCTATTGTTACTTTGAATCCAGCTGGTGATCAAACTAGTGTTGGGGTTGTTAAACCTACTGCTGCAGTTAGACACCTTTGCATCTTGATGTAGCTATAATAAACAAGACACGACCTAGCTGTGCAAGGGTCAAGGTATATGTGAACCTACTGGCTGATTTACCTAAGAAAATAGGCATGGATATCGAGAATGAAGAGACTAAGGAGGTAAGAACAGAGTGGGTTAAAGTTCAATATGACTATCTTCCTAAATATTGTACTGAATATTGTTTGATGGAAAATTAGTAAATCAGATTGGCGGGAACATGTTTAACATATAAAGCCAAAAAGCTCGAACTCAAGATGCTACTTTCTGTTCACATAAACATTAATAAAAGAAGTTAATTAATCTGGTGCTTGTCTATGGTTTTGAGGCTGCCCATGCATCGGGTATCATAATGCCCATTTCTAAAGGTAAGTATACTATAGGTGTCCTTGAGGCTACAACTGGTACAGCAGTGACAACAACAGCTAATGCAATTGTGCCAGTTGCAAATAAATCTGCAGTACTTGACAAGGATGTGGAAGACACAACTCAGAATCAACAGGTGACAGTGGTGGAAGACTCAAGGGTAGTGCAAAAGGAGGCTGGAAATTCTCCTACTTCAGCAAGGAAACAAGTAACTAAGTCTCCGACCAAGAAGCTTAATAGAGAGCAATCTCCAGGCAGTGTAAAACAGTAGCAACAGTCCAAGAATCCTAGTGCCCGAGCAGTTGCTTGAAGGGAGATCATGTACCTATTCCATAAAAATCGGATGTTCCACAAAATGCTATAAAGAACAGTGTGGCTGAAGTGTTAAAGGGAGATCATGTACCTATTTCCAGCACTCCTAGGCTTCATTTTTCTAGTCTACTTAGAGGGAATTAAAATTGCATAGATAAGTAGCTAACCAGTTCGTAAAGTGTCGAGATTTTAAGGAAACTGTAAGTCCAAATAAACAATAAAACCTCTAAAGGTCAAAGAAAGCACCAAGTAAATCAAATATCACTATGCAATAAGCATTTATGATGTGCAACCATTACAAGGAAACAAGGATAAACAGTGTTGAAAGCCATAATCTAATATTATACATTATCAGATTGCAATACTATAGAAACATTACCTGAATCGTCATCATTTGGAATTTCAGTGCCACCATCAGAACTATTCAACTCATTAGATTGACCATCACGTGCTTGGGCGTTAGAGTAATTCTGACTATCCATCAACTGCTCAGTATATGGCTGGGCTCTAGAGTAGTTTTGACCATCCATCAAGTGCTCAATACAACGTCTCATATCTTCATCATAATCTTGTTCAATTACCAGTCCACTGCGACCTCTAGTTTGCATAGTTCCTTTTCCAAAATAAAGAAATTTTCTAGATGCATTAAGTTATACTAGTACCAAATTAACTCCAACCAATCAGCAGGTCACACGCAAAATAGGAGGAAATATAGTCCCCGTCTCAAGCTGTGAAAAAAAATGAATAGCAATTCGTGCACACGAATAAAGCCTTGCGACAGAGATAGTTAAAGAGATAAAAAGTATTGATGCACCAGAAAAAACTATTGTCCAACGATAATAACACCATAGCATATTGCAATACAATGGGTACAATCAGCAAAATATAAGTAAAAGAAAGCACAAAGAATTGACTCAAATCAACCAATACAAACATGGAAAATCCATAGCCGACTAACATGCATCTTCTATAAAATGACTCAAATTGAAAGCAAAAAAGTATATTTATTCAATTTCTATGGTAAAAAAATCACAAGAAGTTCTTAAATAACACTTGCAAGAAAAATATTCTATAAGTTTCACTTATCATATTCAGAATCATATTCATTTTCATTGTCATTTTCTCCCTCAACACTAGCTTTACCATCATTTGGAGAATCTTGAGAATGTATGTTTGCATCAATTACTATCCCATCGACACCACTTCTTACCCAATCATTATACTCATCTTCTGGAACACGAGTATTTTCTAAGAGAGCCAAGTCAGTGGCATCACTCTGCATTGATGACGCAAACTGCAAACTATTTTCCTCTCCCATATTAAAAATATCTCGAGGTTTAATTAACCTAGGGACAAACCATTCATGATCTTTAGGATCTTGTACAAATATTACTTGTTGAGCTTGCTCTGCTAAAATAAAGGGCTCATGACGTTCTCGATCGCCAGAGTCTGTTAGGCATGAGAAATTCACAAGTTTGAAACCCAAGTCATATTCCTTAACTCCTCTACCTTTGGTTACATCAACCCAATCACACTTAAATAAGACAACCTTCAATTCTTCATAGTAGTTTAACTCCACAATATCATTCAATCTGCCATAATATGTGATATTTGTAGACTTTGGAGTATTGTCACTTGTACTTGCATAACTTTCAGTCTTTGAAATGACCATAACACCACTATTTTGTGTCACCTTAAATTCTTCACTTTGCTTCATTCGAAATCGATACCTGTTATTTACATCGAATGCATGAAATCTTTTTGCAATGTAACTCGGCCCTTGTGCAAGGACTTTAACATCCTTTAAGATGTTAGATGTGGCTTCAAGCTCCTTTATCTAACCAAATAAGAGATACAACTTTAAATGTGGATATCTGTACAAGGGAAATAATGTAACGTAACCAATGACTTAGTCCTACTACTTACTTGCTCCTTGAGCCACTCATGAAATGTATCGAAATGCACACGATCAAGTTGATGTTGAGTCAAACGACGCTTACGATATGATCTCTTGATTTCAGCAATATGTTCCCTATTGATGTAACTCGCATATATTAATTTTGTTATCAATTAAGTAATATAAATATATTAAACAATAGATATAACACTTCCTTTTTATAATTCTCAACCACTTCTGACTCGCAATTGAAAAGCACATGTCGATGTGCTTGCAACCTTATTTTCTCATCCAACTCAAATATATCTACTCCACCGTACGACTCCCCAACAATTGGAAAAAGATATTCTTCTTTACTAATCTCATGTTCAATCTCATCACTGCATTTTCTTGAACAATAAGACCTTGAATCTTCACCCTTCAAATACCGTGAGCAAAATGCCATACACACATTTGCTATGTATGCTTTCTGGTATCGAACCTTCTGGACATGCACGATTACGGATATATGATTTTAAAGTACCCAAATACCTATGGAATAAAATAAATGTATTAGTTTGATATTATAATATTTAACAACTAAATATATATAATTAAGTTTCAGTGTTATTCTTCATACCTGTCAATTGGGTACATCCAGCGACAATGTACCGGCCCCGCATGATTAGCCTCAGTTGCCAAGTGAATTACCAAATGTATCATAACAGTAAAGAATCCTGGGAGGAAAAGTTTCTCCATAGTAGACAAAGTTTCGGGAATTTTTTCTTCAAGTAACTTTAACTCTTCTACTTTTAGTTCTTTGCTACACAGAACACGAAAGAATGTGCATAGTTCAATTAAAATGGAACTAACTCTTTTATTTGCTGATCTCCGCGAGGCAAGGGGAAGAAGTTCTTGCATTATAACATGACAATCATGAGTTTTAACCCAGATATCTTTCGTTTGCGAATGCAGCGTGAGATATTAGACGCATAGCCATCTGGAAACTTGGCATTTTGTAGTACTTCATAAAACAACTCTTTTTCTTTTTGAGACATTGTGAAAAAAGTAGGAGGAAGATACGCTTTCCCACTAGCTCGATATTGAGGCCATAAACTTGGTCTTATTTTCATCTCCTTCAAGTCCAATCGAGCTTCTGAGTTATCTTTAGACTTTTTACCAAGATCCAATAATGTATAAATTAAGTTATCACATACATTCTTTTCTATGTGCATCACATCAAGATTATGGCGCACCAAGTTAGACTTCCAATAAGGAAGATCGAAAAAAATACTCCTCTTTCTCCATGTGTTTTTCATCACTCCACTTACCCCTTCACTCGACTGGCCGAGAGTAAATTTTATATCTTTAACTTGATTCAACACTAGTGCCCCAGATACTGGACAAGGTGCAGGTCTTGTTTCTTTAGTACCATCAAACGATTTTGCATCATTCCGATATTTGTGTCCCGACTTCAAGAAGCGCCGATGCCCCATGTAACAAAACTTTCTGCCGTGTGTGAGCCTTCTAGATTGAGTGTTTATGTTACAAGAAGGGCATGCAAACCGTCCATAAGTGCACCATCTAGAGAGAGTACCATATGCTGAAAAATCATTTATAGTCCACATGAGAGCTGCTCGCATTTGAAATATCTCCTTAGCAGAGGCATCACATGTTTCTATCCCATTATCCCATAATTCATTTAACTCTTCTATTTAAGGTTGCAAAAAGACATCAATGTTATTGCCAGGAGCTTTTGGTCCAGGAATAAGTAAGGACAAAATGAAGAACTCTTGTTTCATGCACATCCATGGTGGAAGATTATATGGCATTAAAATTACTGGCCATGTACTGTGTACAGTTCTCATTGTGCCAAATGGATTAAACCCATCAGAAGCTAATCCTTGGTGCACATTGCGAGGATCTCCAGCAAATTTGGGATATTTACTATCAAAATTTTTTTAAGCTTCAGAATCTGCAGGATGTCGTAAAACTCCATCTTTGGTGCGCTCATCATGATGCCATCGCATTGCTTTAGAAGTTTCTGAAGACATAAACAATCTCTGTAGCGTTGTTTTTAAAGGAAAATACCTTAAGACCTTGGCTGGAATTTTTCTGGCATCATTTTTCCATCTAGAAGCCTCACATACTTTGGATTCATTGACATTCTTATTATCAAACTCTTTCCTAAAAAGCATGCAATCGTTGGGACAAGCATGTATTTTTTCATACTTTAAGCCCAAGCCTTCAACTATCTTTTTGGTCTCATAGAAAGAAGGAGGTAATTTTTCTCCTTCAGGCAGCACATCTTTCAATAGTCCAAGAAAAGAATTAAAAGATTCATTTGACCACTTGAACATGCATTGATACAAATGCAGCAAACAGGAGAGTTTGCTAAACTTCTTACATCCAGGATATAATTCTTCATTTGCCTCCTTCATGAGCCGTTCAAACTTATCCACCTCTAGATGAGGTTGATTTCCAAATGGATGAGCAGTATTCTCTTGTAAGACTTGCTCTATGCCACCTAATTCACTAACGTCAGTATCCATGAACTGTGTAATACCTGCAAATGCATCATGTATCATTCCTCTCATATCATCGCCCCTTTGAGTTGACTGACTGCGATTATTTGCTCCAGCATTGTTTGATCCCTTTAGAGACTCACCATGACAAGACCAAGTATCATATGACGGTATAATACCATTAACCACAAGATGATCATATGCTGTAGCCCGATTTACTTGATGGAGAAGCACACACTCCGTACAAGGACATGCAATTTTTCCTCCATCTTGTTTTTCAGAAAAGGCATGATTTAAAAAATCCTCTACTCCATCCAAATATTCTTTACTAACTCTATCAAAATACATCCATCTTTTATTTCTAAGAATGTCCATGGCGTTCAATATAGTCTTTTCTTTTCTATAATTACTGCAGGAGCTAAAAATGTGTTAGTAAAAAGGTGGAATTAATCAAAAAGGTAGTTCAAAATAAAATAACCATCCTATTAGTAGGTAATCCATAGCTTGAAACTATCAAACATAAATCTATTAAAACTATCATTTAAACAATAAAACTATTAAACAGTTAAACTATTTTAACAACTGATTCATAAATCTTTTAAGAATAGAATTATTAAAGTTATATTTTATAGAAGAACCATATATCATATAATATAAAATTTTCAAAACTTACTACTCATATTTGTTGAATATCCAGATATATACTCAGTTTTTACCAATTTGGTTTTTGCTCTTTTGTTTATTAAGCGCCAATTTAACTAGTTCGAAAGCTAAATGGAATATTTTGCTGTTTATAAACAGATCATAGTCATCATAGAATAAACATGTAAATGAGAAAGAAATCTAGCCAAAGACAACTTGCCAATTTTCACTATATTGGTTCATAAAATTTTTAAGAATGGAATTATAAAACTTATAAATTATACAAATTTTTAAGGCTAGACATTCTGACTATAACTAACAATAAACTAATGGGTACTGAGTGTCGAAGGATTCTACATATTGCTAATAACCCAAGTTGTTTCTTAACAAATTGTAACGACCCGACCGGTCGTTTAGCCTTTTTGAACCCTGTGCCCCTATATAAAGCCTCCCGTACTTGCTTTAACTAGTTTACGACTTGCGGGGGCGATTGGTTTGGGGATTGGTAGAGTTTTGAGTAAAAATATGCCCATTTACTTCTTTAGGATTTCTTAAAAAGACCAAGTTTGACTTCGGTCAACATTTTGGGAAAACGGGCCCGGATCCGTGATTTGACAATTTCTGAGGGTCCGTGGGAAAATATGGGACCTGGGCGTCTATCCGGAATCGAATTCCGAGGTCCCTAGCCCGAGTAATGAATTTTTATCTAAAATTGTTTAATGGAAGCTTTAAAGAATTCAAGAAACTAAGAAATCATTGATTCCCTAGGTATCGGGCTCGGATTTTGGTTCCGAAGCTTGGTACAGGTCCGTAATGTCATTTAAGACTTGCCCATAAAATTTGGTGTCAATCCGAGTAGTTTAAAGGCGTTTTGACTCGCTAGAGGAGAATTAAGAACTTAAGGATTCAATAGTTTGATTCATTTGGTTTTAGGGGGTGATTATAAGATTTAGCATTGTTTTGGGAGTTCTGAGGGTTCGAGTAGGTCCGCCTCGTCATTTCAGACTTGTCGGTATGTTCGGGCGGGGCTTGGAGCCCCGAGCGTCAAACAAATGAGGTTCGAGCGAAGTAGAAAAACATAGAAGGGCTGAAGGTTGCTGCTTCTGTCATAACCGCATCTGCGGTTCTTGAGCCGCAGAAGCGGGACCGCAGATGCGGTCATGCCATCGCAGATGCAAAAAGGGGGAGGTCCAGGGAAAGCCGCAGAAGCGGCCCAGGGACCGCAGAAGCGGTCCCGCTTATGCGATCCCCAGACCGCAAATGCGGTCCAGCTATTCAAGGCCCAAGCCGCAGAAGCGGCCAGGTAACCGCAGGAGCGATTCCGCATGTGCGGTCCAGTCCTCCCTCGCCTACTTCCGCACGTGCGTGCTAGGTGACGAGAGTCCGTGCGTAGCTACTACTATGTTAATGGTCCGGGTAGCTTAGGACCCATATCATGCTTATTTCACATGACTCTATTTATTACTTGTTACTATGAGCACCTAGGATATGCTAGAGATTTTAAAAAGGAATAAGAACATACTTGTATAATTGTTGAAGTCTTGCTTGGCATTTATGACTATTGACGTGCCTTGTGTGTATACTTGATATTCCTGCTTATTTGTGGATCGGGCCGATCGCCTCGGCATGAATAGATGCATCTATAGGCGCGTCGTCGACCCTCGACAAGTGCACAGTTTATTTCTGTTGGATCGGGCCGTCGCCTCGGCATATTTGCGCATGCTTGTATAGCTTTGCCTGAGATTGTTAACTATTAGAATTACACTTTCATGACTCGAAAGGAACTGATAAATTGTGACCGAAGTAAATGATTAATTGGAATCTCAGCGAGAATATGATTTATATGCCTAGTTTTAAACTGTTGTCTGTTATATATTTTTATTGTTAACTTAAACTTATGATATTATTTGGCCCTAGTGAGTGTCAAGTCGACCCTCGTCTCTACTCCTTCGAGGTTAGGCGGGATACTCACTGGGTACATATTGTTTATGTACTCATGCTACACTTCTGTACTTAAATGTACAGGGTCTGAGGCAGGTGGATCCGGTTATTTCTCTGGTGCGTAGTTGTGAGTAGGCTTGGGACTTCTACGATGAGCTGCTTTTCCTTCCAGGTCGACCCGCAACCGAAGAAGTCTCTCTTTGCATTGTTATTTCTATCTATTCTGATCCAGACAGGAGGGTAGTGTAGTATTCTTTTGGTTGTATATTCTACTAGCTGCCCGTAGCTTGTGACACCAGGTTCTGGCACACACACGTTAGTAGACATTTATTTTTGGGTTGTATAACTATTTTGATACTTTATTTTCCACTCTTGGCCTTAATTTAATCCATGAAAATCTGTTATTATTAGTTTTTGGTAAAGGTAAAATGAGAACTTAATCACACTTCCGCGTTGGCTAGCCTGACAATGGTGTCGGGCGCCATCACGACCTATTATGGAAAATGGGTCGTGACAACATGGTATCAGAGCACTAGGTTCACGTAGGTCTCACGAGTTATGGGCAAACCTGATAGAGTCTTGTTGATCGGTACGGAGACGTCTGTATTTATCTTCGAGAGGCTATAGGGTATTAGGAAAGACTACTCTTTATTCATTTCCCGTCGTGCAGTGCTGAGAGTACTAAATTTCCCTCTTCTATTCTCTCACAGATGGTGAGGACTCGTACCGTCGACGTTCCGAACCCGGGAGGAGCTGCTCCCCCTATTGCTAGAGGCCGAGGTAGAGGCTGGGGGAGGGCACCGGCCCGTGGTAGGGGGCGAGGGCGTCCCAGAACTGTTCCAGATGCACCACCGGCAGATCCTATTATTGAGGAGCAGGGCGAGGTGCCCGCAACTGAGCCTACCCCGGCGGATTTCATGATAGCACCAGGATTTCAGGAGGTCATGGGCCGCATGCTACGGTTCATGGACACTATGACTCAGGCTGGTTTATTTCCAGCAGACCCAGCTACTTCTCAGGGCAGGGAG